CTTAAGGGAGGCTGGCTGCTTGATGTAGAATCGCTTAAATGGGTCATCAGTCTCCGGCAACCTAATGTGCCCCGCCTCTGTGAGTAGGCACGTTGTTATGGAATGGTCTGGGGATCCAGCCTCGCCGCGCACACATAAGTTAGAGGAAACAAAACCCCTTCTCCAGAAACATTCCGGAAAAGAACCATAGGATGTGAAGAAAGGGATTATGTATGGTGCTGAAAATAGGCGGTTGGCCTATTTTCAGCACCAATTGCAAGACACTGAATTGACACACTGAGTTACTACACAACTGACTGAATTCACAATTATACTAAGAGTTCCAAGTGTAAACAAATGGCCTTCACGTTAGGCCTAGCAACATTTCAAATTTTAAATTGTTGATATTTCTACAGTTATTGCAGGTTAACTAAAGGCATAAAAACCTTAACCAAACATAAGAACACCATAATTCAATCATTTTTAAAGAAACAAATGCGCAATTTACCAACACAAAAGAATTAGAACACTGAGATCATGAAAAGTTTTCATTGAAAAATTTAAGGAGGCTGTCTGAGTACCTCTTTAAAGGAGACGAAAGGGATTCTGCCTAATAAATAAAAGGAGATTCTGCCTAATAAATAAATACAACTATTTAAAGGAATATTTATGTTACTTGTTAGATTATAAGAGGTCTACAGCACATTTGTCTAATCTTCCCATGAGAAGGAGCTACTATGTTTTTCTACTAGTTACGAGTACAGAAAAAATGAAATTATGTAATAATGTAACAGATTTAAGGTTTAAACTCAACTCAAAATCAGTCCGATGTTAATCATAGGACTTTTCCTTTACTAACAAAACTATTCAGAAGCGAAGTTCAGTCGCTGAAAGAGAAATAAATACAGTTTTTTAGTTATATCGCAGTTTACTATCAAACAAAAAATCAAAAAACAACTAAGCAAGCATCTGTTCTATCAATAAACATTTTTTCCTTCTATTTGAAGATTAATATTTATCATGTAAGATTCGGTAAAATACATTTTTAGTACCTTAAGTTGCTCTGTGAAAACTTAGATTCGAAGAAACTTGAATTAGGCATTATGAAAAAAAAAAAAAGGTTTCAATACATAAGAGGAAAAAAATTATATACTTCTAGTATTGCTTCTCTACGCTGTCGCCTTCTCGATTAATTTTTTAATTTTTTATTTTTTAATGCGCTGCATTCCTATGGCGCAGACATTTCCAACCTGGCCGCTAAATCAATTTGTCATGTAATTGACGGAATTCATCACTCTCCTCAGACTCATAGAACTTCTTCCCACCTGCTTTTATTCATTTATATCTATTTGTCTTTCTCTAAAATGTTAGTACTCTTTATGGCACAGTGCAGAAAGTGTATAGCTTTTGTAGCACTTTCAAAGAACACTGCGAAAACTACGATGGCTTTCCATGGATTTTCAGCCTTGAAACAGTTCCATGGATGCAAGAAATTAATCTGCTATTGTTTATCATTGAAGTGTATTTATTTTCCATTCCTTATCTTCCCTCCTTTCATTGCGCAGTTCTAAATATTCAAAGGTGTTACGGCAAACAATTCAACGAGGTTTATATTGTTTAACTGAAACTTGAGATGGTCGGTATCACTTTTATGAAAAAGTGCATAAACTTTGAAGCGACAATAAGGATAAGCAATTTGGCTGGGATAAGCCCAACACTGAAGCAGGTAAGTTCTGGGATGGACGACTGTGTATAGGCATCGGGAATTCAAGAAATCTAAGGTGAGTGAAGAATAGTGCAATTAAACAGGAATCTAAGAATTTATTTGGGAAGAGCTGTGGAGTACCGTACACCATGAGCGACGGTCGAAGTTCAAAAGAAAAATGACTTCAGTAAGAAGCCCAGCTCGAGAAATTGGAGGCGTGACGTGGTCCTCAGGAGCATCAGAATTGGCTACGAGGTAGGTTTAATACACAAACAATTCATACAATAGGGAATAAGAGGGCGGGACACTGATGGAATCACACTGTTAGAAAGCCTTAGCCGAAAAAATGGGGAATGGGGAAGATGGTTAACAAAAAATAAAAGCAAAGGAATTCAATAAGCTTGTTAATCTGAATAAATTAAGGGATAAATTACAGAGGGAAAAAACCTAATTTGATTGGCTAAGCGGAATTAAATTAAAACCGCTTATTTACGCCCTTGTTCAGCTATTTCCTAAACGACTGAGCAGAAAATATAAATTTTGTTTATAGTATCAGTGACAGAACTTAGTTGCTATTTATATTTTTTGTAGATAATAATAAGTTCGGCTATTGCATTTTTGCCAAAGAAGTTATTAATTTCTTTAAAAAATTTTTAGAATATTAAAAATTTCGGAGATATCATTCTGACCATTACTGCTGTTATACCCATTATCATTAGTTTCTTCACATTTTAATATTAGCTTGTGCAACCTTAACCAATTGTGGGAAATCTTGGATAATAATAAAATTCGGATTTATTGACGAATTTTTACCTCTTATACAAGAGACACGCTAGCTTTGATCAAGTTTTTTCTTTTCTGCTGAGGAGACTTATTTTCAGGAATTTAGGGCAACCCCTGTAATTGGCTGGATGAAAGCTCAGACAGTTGCCAGTTGCCAGTCAGACAAGCGAGTTGCGGACAAGCGATCATCAACCATCAAAAGAGAGAGCACTCCACCACTCTCGACTCGAAGTAACAGTTTTTAATTGGATGGGAAACTTCTGGCAGTTATGACACTGCGGCTCCTCGTTCTCCGAAACGTACTTCTTGATAGAGATCGCTAAGTACATGAGAGAATGCGAGTCGTAGATTTGATTATTAATGCCATTTTTTACATGTATCAGAAACAGGGCCATGGGAGCCTTCGTACGTCTTTTCGTCAGTTCAGTGGCTTTACTGATGGAGAAACCACATTCGATGGGAACATTGTTTATCTTGAAAGTATCAGTTTTCGTAGGCATTATATTAATATAAACTGATTGTTCTCAGAGTGTGGTAAAATCTGAAGATACTGTCCGGTGAGTTTGCCAAGAAATTAGCAGTTATATTGAGAATCATTTTTTTTTTTTTTTGCAGAAAATACGAATGATTTAGCGGGCTAGGGCTCATAATTTTGGGTGAAATACCCCTAACAGAATTGGGTGTCGGCTGAGGCTGCATGCCCTGACTGATTCTTAATTTAAATTCTGATTTACAACACTATTATCTTTATGTAAAACATTAAATTTATTACTGGTAGTGAGAACAGCTTTAGTTGCTTTGACAAAACTATCAGAGTCAGTATTAAGATTAGAGTTAGTTTTACTTTTGGTAACTTTAGTATTAGAACTATTGTTAACAGTGCCTATAAAATAATATAATAGAACAAAAAAATCATGTTATTCTGGTTCAAGAAACATTATTCAATTTAAATCACACACAAATCGCAAAGTAAATGAACATTCAAATCAGAGGTTTCAAACTTCCAGGTCTATTCAGTTCTAACACATATTCAACCGGCACTACTAGATCCAAGAACAAGAAGTATACATCATGAAAAATTTACCCCCTCTATTGGCGATTAAAATATATTTCCAGATAAATTTCTTACAGTGCCTGAATTGCAAGGTGGAAAATGCTTACCTCTGACTTCTTTGACTTGCTTCGGCACATAAGTAAGCATCTGAACCGGATAATAGATGAGACGGGTTAGGTGGCAGCCGAAGATTGAGCCCTTCTTTCAAGAGAGATGACGACTTTCAAGGTAGATTCAGTCCTTTTTCTTAATCCTCGATTTCTGCCTCAAGTCTAGCAAACTCATCAGGTTCAAGAATAGTTGAAGATGTAGAAGGAACGGGATCATGGACTGAAATGTTTCATATTCATTAATGAAGAATAGTCGTGAGAGCTTCCGAATTCTCAGCTATAATATTGCGCAAATCTTCTCACTCAAGAACACGGCAGAATAGTGTTTAATTGAAGACAAATTAATTGATTTCTGCAGAGCGCAAATTGAGCAGGAGCCCAAGTTCTAGACGGAGAGCACCGGACGCCTAAATAAGACTTCGACACTTCTCTTACGTAACTGAACATATATTTCTGTAGAAAATTGACCTCGAAAATTTTATTTTTAGTAATAAAATTATATTAAAAATCACTTATTAAATTTTATTTTATCTCTTTACATTTTATTAAGTTTTAATTTTAATTCTTTATTAATTTTAATGATTAATTATTTAATTATATTAATAATTAATTTTTTAATTGTTAATAATTCTTTGGTCATTTTATTTATTTATCTATTCTTGTTACTCTTTCCCGATGGTCTTTCATAGGGCTCCGGTACGTCTAATTTCAGAAATTAAGCTCTGGATTTCTGATTCTTTTAATTTTTCAGAGAGAGGGATGGATAATCTTTAGTTGCACTTTAAAGCCCTCCCTCAACATTATTTTTCTCTCTGTCAGGCTAGAACGTTGTCATACTTAAAATACAACAGTCAAATAATTAGCCTAAGCTTTAATATTATCCAAAATTTCAAAAGTGGAATATATCCTTAACATATGAAGTTGAGCAATGACACTAGTTCCCAATTCTCGGGATCAGTTTTCCGCTAGTGGAAGGGAGACTTTTAATTGTACGAAAAATTTTAATTTTTCTCATTTAGCGATCTTTCTATTATAAGAGTGCTTCACTTTTCTAAAGAGTAGGATATATTTCCCGATTTTGGAGCGTTCTAAAATCTGTGGTATTAGACCCAAGTTTCGGGCTTAAAATCATGAAAATTCCTGAAGACGAAATTATAGTGAAACAAATTTAAATTGAGAAGAAAGTTACGTTCATAGATATAGTAATACTATATCTATGGTTACGTTAAGGTTGTCTATTTTTATTTTTTAAAGCTTTGAAAAAGCTTGTCCAGACAGCAAGCAAGCAGTTTGTGATTATTATGAATATGAACTGAAGTGATATACTGCAATTTTCGTTACGTCATATTCTCAGTTTGCGCGCTAAATTTCTGATGTGTTTTGTTTAGATTACGTACCTAATAGTTATTTATCGAGAGAAAAGGGCTTATATGTTTTAATTTTCAAAACCTATGTTTCATTATTTGAAAGTAGGAATTTAGCATCCTCGTTTTCTGCTGTTGTATACACATACGTATTTTATCTACCTCTTCAGTTTATATGCGTTTTTAAGTGAGAGTTTTAGAAATTCTTTTTCCTATTTCATTTAAAACAGATGAAATAGTGATGCAAGCAGTATGTAGAATTTCAGCTTTTAATCTTTAATTTTATTTTTATACAAATTCTTTTAGAATGTTTTATATTCAATGTAAAATTATCAAAAATCGCATTCATCTTTTATAGTATAAGTTAAAATGTTCATAGTGGGTTTTATGTTTTGTGACTGACACAAAAGAAGGGAATTTATTAGTTCTAAGGTATGTCCGTTGACCGTACGTGTTCAGGTATTGTACTATTGAGATGCCTAGCGCAACGTTGAGTCAGTTCTGGAATATTGGAGAGCATAAATAAAATGTAATTCATCGGAGCAAAATGTTTTGAAAATTATTAGGTGTAATATCTGGAATTGGAAGTAACTTGGATGAAAAAAAAAAAAAAAAAGGAATCCTGCAGCGATATGAATTAATACATCATTTTTGAGCAAACAGTTAATGGGGATAAGACTCTTTAAGTTTCATACATACTTAGAGGGAAGAGGAAATACTATTTAAAAATGGATAATTATGATCCAAATTAGCGAAATAAGTTGTTAAGATTATTGTGAGCATGTTACGAAGAATAAAACAAGCAAGTAAGAACATAAGTAGTTCTCAGACAATTCCCTTCCTAAGTACTAGTTACATCTTTGATTACTTGATTTTGACGGATGGAAAGTAAATGATTTTCTCTTGAAAAGCTATCACAGAGTGCTGGAGGAATATTTTGAGGTGGTTCAGTTACTCTGTTCAGTTTACTAGTTCAGTTACTGTGTGCTGTTCATTTCTTCAGGTATGAGGAATAATATATGCATGCTGTTCATTTCTTCAGGTGTGATAGAATTATTCTTCAGGTTTGACAGAATTCTCAAAGTTTTTGTATTTCTCAGTATAAATTATTTTTAATTATTGAACTAAGTTCAGAAAAAGTTTTTGTTGTAATTAGATGAAATCTAAAAATATGAAAAGGGATGTTGATTTTAAAAGCAGATATATTAAGATATTCTTGTATTGTTTTACATTTTATTTTCATATCTTTTGAAGTAAGTAATGACTTAGAGTAAGTATGCCGATTTTCCTATAAGCAAACTATCAAAATAGAAATTATATTTATTACGCATGTTATTTGTATGTACACTGTGCTTAATTTAAAAACAGTAAATGGCTAATATTTGGAATAATATAACAAGTAGTTTGGCGACATTTTGGTAAGGCGATAAAGGTTACTAGCTAGGATGGATAATCTTTGGAATATGGTAACAGGTAGTTTGGCGACATTTTGGTAAGGCGATAAAAGTTACTAGCTAGTAGTGTACATGGATAAAGTCAAGAGTGTGTGCAATGCCATTTTTGTGCAATTCTGGATTTTTTTTTTTAAGTGAAAATAGGTCGACGTGTACATGGATAATACCATGTATGTGCAATTCTTAAAAACGCGGCAAGCAGTTTGCGATTTTGCACCTTCTCCCAATTTCGCACCTAATCTTCGTCATGATTAAGCACTTTTGTTCCATAAAAGTTCTAGTATAAGCGTGATTCGGCTAGCAGATTGACGGAAAAAATGTTGAGTTAAAAAAACATACCTTTACTTCGTGAAAGCAAAATGGCATCCAAAACAAAATTAGCAGGTTGCTGTAGTAGGGTTGGTTGCCAAGTTTTCGCCAAAAAATCACTAAGTTACCATAATCCAAAGATTAACCCCTAGGACATTAGCAGTGTACATGGATAAAGTCAAGAGTGTGCGCAATGCCATTTTTGTGCAATTCTGGGATTTTTTCAAGTGAAAATATGTTGACGTGTACATTGATACCGTGTATGTGCAATTCTTAAAAACGCGGCAAGCAGTTTGTGATTTTGCACTTTCTCCCAATTTCGCACCTAATCTTCATCATGATTAAGCACTTTTGTTCCATAAAAGTTCTAGCATAAGCGTAATTCAGCTAGCAGATTGTTGGAAAAAAATGTTGAGTAAAAAATAAATAAATAAAATAAATTAAAATAATAAAACATGCTTTTACTTCGTGAAAACAAAATGGCACCCACACAAAAACTAGCAGGTTGCTGTAGCAGGGCTATCGCCAAAAAATCGCCAAGTTACCATAATCCAAAGATTAACCCAGTAAATTTTTATATTTATAAGGCGTACTGTACTTATGTGTGTAGGAAATGACATCTACATATTTCACATTGATCCTTGAGATCTCACAGTTGTTAACTCTCCTTGTTTTTAATTTTCATTTATCACTATTATTATTTTAATTTCATTTATCACTAAGTGTTGTTTTGGTTATGATATCCTGAGTATTTTACGATATACATTTTTGAAACCCTATCATGACATAATTGGGTTGGACCCTATCAGGATGTGTTTGATTGTAATCCGTGATTGTGGCACTGAATTTGGTTGTTGGAAAACTACAGTCAAAAGTCGTTAATCCGGACCTCAAAGATACAAACTTTATGCACATGCGTGAATGCATTATGTGTTCATGCATGCGCCTAGGTGTTTCTGCATGTGCGTAATACCTTTGTGCGGGCACATATGTGTGTGCGCATGCGCGTTTAATGCATAACGGACAGTATAAGCTAAGCTAAAATTATCTAATTATCTATTTCAGTTAATGTTGCAGATTGCGTTGTTCCTTAATCTTCTAATTGGATCCGGCTTATTATTTTTTTGCAAACTGTTAAAGCAATTTTATAAAAGTAAGCTTGAACTTTCAATTATGTCAAAAAGAATTTCCGATTCTGGAGCTGCCGAAGGATCTACAAAGCAAAAGCCTGTTTCGTTTTGGCAGTGTATCGTAAGACTGCGAAAGCATTTTCAAACAAAAAGTGGAATCGCCGCAAAAAATGGATAAAGGCATATCCTTTGCTTCTCTAACCATTCCAAAATGTGTTTATCAATTTCACGCTGCTCTGCGCGGGGGACGACGCGGGACGCAATGAACTGGAAGTTGATCTGTCAGCATTATCCTTATCTTCCGGGCAGGTGTTTTTATTTTATTTGGCTTATAATTCCTTACTAAATGTAGTATTTTATCTCGATGTACTCCGTCTTTCATATTATTTAAATCAAATTCCTCGTCATTATAAATATCACGAATACACATCAAATAGTTTTCTGGTTGCAATTTTTTAATTTTGACTGTGTAATGTATGCTTTACGCATGCACGCGTTGAAAGAAATATTTAATAAAGTAAACAAATAAATATTAAGCTATTTTTTTGTAAATTTTGATATCCTTTAGATCATAATTGCTCTTTATTTCATAATCAGGGTTTCATATTTTTAATTTTATAATTTCTGCATGCCATCTTACCAGATTTAAACTGATGATCTATAATCCGGAATCGCCGAAGTCCCAACGAGTCCGAACTAAAGACTTTTGACTGTATTTCTCAGAGCTTATTTCTGTGTTGGATGTCGGTCAAGAGGTACGTTGCTTTTTTTTGTGCTTTACACCATAAAATGATTGCTGGTGATAAGATTAACCTTGCCATCCGATTTGAAATGAATGGAAAAGAAAGCATTGATTGACTGGTGTGTATATTTGGTGGTCGTGTGCTTAATGCATGATATAATTAAAGAAAATAAGAGTAGACAATCTCCTATAACAAAATATATTAAGTACTAAATTACAATTTAAATTACGTTGCAGCGATCAACGCAGAGCTCGGAACACAGTTCATGCTACCGTCGCGTACAGTTGTCTGATGAGAAGTCTGAGTGAGTAATGACGTCGCTTTGTTGCTCCGGTTAAGAAATGGATTTTACACGTGGCGCCATCTCATGAAAGAAGTTGAAGTATCTGTCGGAACGCCACAGTACTCCCCCCCAAGTACCATCGGTACGTTATAAGTACTTTGGGTTAAATTTAACCTTTCTTCCAGATCTGGTAGTTTTAGGTTGCTCTTTAACGGGATGTAAGCTTTCTTCCGGGAGTGATGTTGATGAGGAAGTTGTTGGATCTTGCATTAGAAATGCTGGTTTGAGACGATCGATTCCAATCACTGATTGTTTGCCATTGCAGATGATGGTGAAATGTTTCGGTGTTCGTTTGACAACTTTGAATGGACCATCATATGAAGGTGTTAAAGTTGGCTTAATTGCATCGTTGCGCACGAATACGTGCGAAGATGTCTCAAGCGCAGGATGTACAAAATAGCTTGGCTGGTTATGCGAAGATGCTGGGGTTGGCGAGATATTGCTCATGGTCTCACGTAAACGTTGAAGGAATGTTGGAGGGTCGATAACTGGAGTAGATTCTGGGTGAAAGAATTCACCTGGCAGACGGAGGGTTGCACCATATAACATTTCAGCACAAGTGCTACCAATTTCAGCACAAGTGCAGCACAATTTGAATGCTGTGTGAAGACCAAGCAAGACTAGGGGTAAGGCAAGGGCAAGCAAGACTAGGGGACTAGGGGTAAGCAAGACTAGGGGTGTCCAGTGTGTGCTACTGTGACACTTCAGACCTTGTTTGAGAGATCGGTGAAAGCGTTCCACCATCCCATTTCCAGATGGATGGTATGGTGTTGTGCGAATATGGCGAATGCCAAGAAGAGAGGTGAGGGATGCGAACAAGTGACATTGAAATTGTCGGCCTTGGTCAGTAGTGATGGTGGTAGGCATGCCAAATCTTGAAAGCCACTGGGAGATGAATGCTCGAGCTACAGTTTCAGCGGATATATTTTCAATAGGAATGGCTTCAGGCCATCTTGTGTACCGATCAATACAAGTGAGGAGGTAAGTGTAACCATTTGAAGGAGGCAATGGGCCAACCAAGTCTAAGTGCACATGATCAAAGCGTCTTGCTGGAAGGTTAAATTGTTGAATGGGGCTGTGAGTGTGACGGGATACTTTACACCGTTGACATCTAATACATGAACGAGTCCATTCTGTGATGTCTTGATTCATTGCTGGCCAGACAAATCTGTCTGCGATCAGCTTTTTGGTGGCACGGATTCCAGGATGTGCCAAATTGTGCAAGGCATTAAACACACTTCACGTCTAAAATTGACAGGAATATAGGGACGTATTCTATTGTTCTCTATGTCACAGTAAATTTTAAGCGTTGGATCAATGTGCAGCGGTTGTAACTGAAGGGAGGTTTGTGGATTTGAGATTAGGTTCTTGAGTTCCTCATCATGCAATTGAGCTTTTGCAATTTCAGAGAAATCTGGGGTAGTGAGGTTGATATTGTTTACCCGAGACAAGGCATCAGCGACACAATTATCAGTACCAGAGACATATCTGATATCTGTACTAAACTGGGCGATGAAATCCAGATGTCGAAGCTGACGAGGAGAACATGAGTCAGAGTTTTTTCTAAAAGCGAAGGTTAATGGTCGATGATCGGTGAAAATGATGAAGTCGTGTCCTTCCAAGTTGTGCCGGAAGTATTTAACAGCACAGTACACAGCAAGTAGCTCCCTGTCATATGTGCTGTATTTCCTTTCTGCAGTAGTAAGTTTTCTGGAGAAGAATGCCATTGGGGAAAGTCCTTTAGTGGTATGGGCTTGAAGCACTGCTCCTATGGCCGTGTCAGATGCATCTACCATTATAGAGAGCTGATCACTAGGTGAGTGATAAGAAAGTGTGGCTGCATTTGCCAGATCGTGTTTGCATTGCACGAATGCTGCAGATGCAGATTCAGTCCAAGGGACAGCTCGTTGATCTTTTTTTTTTTTTTTTTTTTTTGCTATTCTTCAGAAACTCATGTAGGCAGGCTTGTGTTTTTGCGGCATTTGGCAGAAAGCGTCGGTAGAAATTTAACATTGCTAGAAAACGCTTCAGTTCAGAGATGGTTTTGGGCTGAGGTAGGTCGTTAATTGCTTTGACTCTTTCCGGTAAAGGTTTGACTCCATTCTGGGTGATAAGACATCCAAGAAAGGAAACTGAGGGTTGACCAAGTACACATTTGGATGGATTTAGTTTTAATCCATGATCTTTAAGGCGAGTGAAAATCTGACGCAGATGTTGAAAATGTTCTTCCGCATCTGTAGATGCAACCAGGATATCATCAAAATATGGGATGCAGAAATCGAGGCCAGACAGTACTTGGTGTATGAAACGCTGAAATGTTTGGCCAGCATTGCGAAGGCCAAATGGCATATATAAGTACTCAAAGAGACCAAATGGTGTAGTCACTGCGGTCTTGGGCACATCTTCAGCATGCACTGGGATCTGATGATATGCTCTGGCAAGATCGAGGGTAGAAAATATGTTTGTTCCATGAAAAAGATGGGTACAGTCTTGGATATGTGGGACTGGATATCTGTCAGGGACTGTGACGGCATTAAGTCGACGATAATCTCCACAAGGCCGCCAGTCACCATTAGACTTTTTAACCATGTGAAGTGGACTGGCCCATGGACTTTTAGATGGGCGAATGGTTCCCTGTGCTAGCATGAATTCAAATTCTTTGCGAGCAGCTTTTAGCATCTCTGGAGAAAGACGACGACGAGGCTTGGAAAATACAGGTGGGCCATGTGTTTCAATGTGATGATACACTTCTGGCTGATGAGTATGCTGCCCTGATTTGGATGGGTTTAAAATGTCAGGGAATTCTGCTAATAACCGATGAAACCGATGCCGTGTGCTGCCCGATACACACTTATGTTGGTAGGTACGTTCGTATCGATGTGAGAAGCTTGGCTGTGCTGTGATGTGAGTCTGAGCATTGTAGTTAGCAGCAATTAATTCATTGATCATTCCATTGAGAAGGTGGAAATGAAGTCAAGTGTCAAGAAATGTGTCAAGAAGTCATCACCAATAATAATAAAAGGCCAGTTGAAAATAAAGTTTAAATCAAAGTAAAAGTCCGTTGGCAAGTTGTAAAAGTGTTGGCAAGCAGTTGTAGCAATTAAGCAATTGCATCCACTAGACATAACTGAGTTGAACGATCAGCCAGTACTATTCTGTCGATGTGGCGGACATTCTGTTGGCCAGCAGAAGACCGCCCATTTAGTTTCCCGCTTGTTCAAAAGTGCATGGAGGGGCACACTTGCGAGCTTGAGCGCCAAAATTCATATGATAAAAACATATGCCACTTGTGGGTTCTTTGTACTGCGTTCGAGTATTGTGACGAGATCGACTCCTGCTTCGGGCACGAAATTTATTACGTGGGCCCTGATTTGATCGATTGTATCTCCGTGAAGCATGAAGACTTGTAGAGAGTTCAGATACTTTTTTGGTCAATTCAGCCACTTGTTGTTCGAGGGATGAACTGGAAGGTGCAGCATTAGCAGCACTGACATAAGCTGGAGTAACAAGTTCATTAATTTTGTCAGCCATTGCTGCTAAACGGGTTAGATCTTCATTGGAAGCAGCAAGAATTATTTGTATGTTATTAGGGAGACGCGAAAGCCATAGTGACTTCAACAAGTCGTCACTAAAATGGCTTCCTGCCAGATCACGCATTCGTGACAGCAAGTATGAAGGTCGCTGATCTCCAAGTTCAAGTCCTTGTAGTAAAGTACGTATTTTTGAAGATTCACTTTCTGAATAGATTTCAATGAGCCGCTGTTTCAGTTTGGAGTATTTATCACAATCAGGTGGTTTGAGAATTAAGTCATGCACTGAATTCAGAATATCAGACTCAATTGCTGCAACTACATGGTTGAATTTTGTAGAATCCTCACTAATGCGAGCGATAGAAAATTGTGCTTCGATCTGAGCGAACCACAATGAAGGATTATTTTTCCAGAAAGGCGGTGGCTTCACCGCAACGCGTGTGATTTGTGGCTCTGGTGGAATATCGTCGGGCATACTGATAGATAATTTTCACTTTAATTAATAAACACTTAACAGCACAAATATTGTAGCATGAGGATACACTATTGATATTTTACCATGATAACAATAAATATTTTAACCATGCAGAAAAAATTTACGTAACGATACACACACAAATAAGACAGGGTCAGCAATTACACACACAAATAATATTTTACCGAAATGCATTTGAAAAGAAACCCCTATTTGAGAAAAAAAAATGATGCGTTCATTTTGTATTGCGCACACACAAAATCACCACTTCACACTGCTAAGGCACTTTCGAAGGAAAAAGGAAATCACTCCTGTAGCACATGGGAAAAAAATTCACTACTTTCGAACACTGAGGGAAGAATTTTGCCGTAGCACGTTGCAGAAAAATTACTGATGTAGCACATTTAGCGAAAATCACTATTGTATCACATTTGTCACAAAAGTTGAATGATCGAAGAATTATTGCACGACTGGCGAAGTCAGCGGAACGGAACAGATCACATTGATGATTTGCTGAAGCTCCTTGCGATGATATGCACGACTTTGAAAAAAAAAAAAAACACAAGCAATATATATCAATACTTCTAGAAATAATTGAAGGGGTACGTTGTAGCATACGTTTAATGTCCATATTCGTTGTTATTTTTAGTCAGTTCTTCAGAATGCCTTGGATGCACGTGGCTTAGGGTCGTTGAAAATCCATTGTCAGTAGCGTGCTCAGTCAAAAGGTCACCACTTTTGGTGGTCGTGTGTGCTTAATGCATGATATAATTAAAGAAAATAAGAGTAGACAATCTCCTATAACAAAAGAATATATTAAGTACTAAATTACAATTTAAATTACATTGCAGAGATCAACACAGAGCTCGGAACACAGTTCATGCTACCGTCGCGTACAGTTGTCTGACGAGAAGTCTGAGTGAGTAATGACGTCGCTTTGCTGCTCCGATTAAGAACTGGATTTTACACGTGGCGCCATCTCATGAATAGAAGTTGAGTATCTGTCGGATATATAATTTTTAAACAGAATATCACCACAACGAATCCTATAACGTACAATTGTCTTTCTGATAATGGCTTCGTTCACCTCTCGTCAAATTACGTAACGAGATTCGGAAACCAGAGCTCATATCAACACTATCGAAGGTATGTGAGGTGCAACAGAAAGGGATTTTCGAAAGAAATTCCACTGACAGTACTATGGTACTCCACAGACACTATGGAGGATATTTCTTATTCTTCTGGGAATTTATGTGGCGCTGGCAGGATACAGATTCTAGTTCTGAACCTTTTATTAAATCTTTCTTTGCATTGATGGAAGCAGTTTTGTATATTTTTTCTTTGCATTTTCGATAATAAATAGATATTTTTTTGTGCGTTCATTTAAGTAAACCCATGTTTCTTCAAGGGTTATGATGTATTTCCGTTTATCTCATGCTAAAATTTTTCATACAGGGTTCTACAAGTTGTTCTGTATTGAGCCATGTGCCTCTGCAAAAGCTGAACATTATTTTTTATAGCTTTTTTAAGATGTAAATCTTGGTTTATTATTTTATTTATTGTTGCAGCAGATGTATATAAAGAAATTGTAATGATTTCTGTATTGGTGGATTTTCTCTTCTTACCAATGATTTAACATTAGAAACAGTATGTACCTTTTTCAGTTCTTAGTTTGGAGTTTTTCCATGCAGAAGTAATGATTTATGGATTTTCTCCTTCCGATTAATAATACTGCTTACTTTGCACTTAGAACTTTTAATACTGTACATATCACAAGCTTTGAATGATGAAATAAGAATATTTCTCTTTGGAAAAACAGATCATTCAACCATCTGCTTGTTTACATACAACATTTTGAAAAAGAATAAATTTAAAAATAGCGAATAATATGTACATTTCAAATAATAAGCTGTTACCAAAAATTTTTATTCCAAAACATTTGCCTTTTTTAAAATTCTGTATTGATATCGTTCTAAAAGTGTATAAACATTCTATGTAATATCTCCTATCCATCTAAAATATCTCCCTGATAAATTTATATGGTGCTTTTGTTGTTAACTTTGTACTTTTAAGCTGTAATAATTTCATTTTTTTATCAGATTTATCTTTCATCTATTATATATTTCAGTTTAGTTTGCTGTTGAATAAATCATCAGTGACATAGCCTAAAAATTCACAAGGAAAATAATATTGCTTTCATCAGTCAAATTTATAAATGTGAATCACTTTCTCATCTGTGACTTAGGAAAGGTAAGTATCTAATTATAATTTTATGTTACTATATATTGCTTAATTTGTATCTTTTTAGATTTTTAGAATTAAATACCTTATACCTTTTTTGATTATACGCTATTGAATTAAATCTGTATTTTTGAGGTCCAATGTATAAAAACTGATTTCATTAAGAATGTATTTTTAAATGAATTTTTTTTTTTCCATTTATCTTTAGATAATTTTCTGTTGATACGTAATTGTTAATTTCTTGCAAGGTTTTGGAAATTCAAACTGAAATGTGGATGAAAGTGAAGTAATTACTACATGTGGATGATTACTAATGTGGATGAAAGTGAAGTAATTATTACATTTTAATCATATTTGCACTACCTATCTTCGTATATGTAGAACAAAAGTAATAATAATAATAATAGGAGTACTTTTTTTTTTTTTTTTTTTTCTTCTTTCTAATGAATAAAATTTTAACAACATTTAAAGTTTACGTATTGCAAACTGGACAGTTAAGTTTTACAGTTTTTGCGATTAAGTATCTGCTTTAACAAGAAAATACCTAATAAGCATAGTTTTAAGTAATTAAAAAATTTACTGATGGAAATAAAATTAATTCTGGAGTACTTTAACCCCATAATCTGAGTTTGTAAAGCTACAGCATTGATAAATTAAGTTAGTTGGTTCTAGTTTAGATTTCCTATTAGATGGCTGGCTGCATGGAGTCTGAGATTTTTTTTTCAGGTGTGATGTAAATATGAGCCAGTTTCTTAAAAACAAAGCTTCATAAAGGAATTCTTTCCTGAGGTAAATTCTGACAGACTATATTCTGACCAGATTAAAATAATCCACTTCCTAATTTGATGTGCATAAAAACATAGTAGTGTTAGTGATACCAAGTGCATTAAAATCAATTTTTTTTCTTCTCTGTTCTTAAATTACAAATAGACATGTCATATATGGGTTCCTTATTTGATGTTATATCCCCCCCTGGTGATTGAAATACCAACAGCTAACTTCCATCAGTACTACTGGGAATACTGCTGATAGCCATGCAAACTTTTAAAATAATAATAATACAAAAAATCAAGCATTTCATGGTCTTCTCCGTATTGTACCTTGAACCATGACATTATAATACATAGAAAATTAATTTGAAACTGTTTTTACTAGGAGCAAATTTTTATCTGTTGGAATCAAAATTTTCATAAACTCAAAATTACTCATATAAATACATTTTGAATAGAAGTCTATGTTCTTTTATTTTCACCAAATAAATAAATTTCACAAATAAATAACTTCTTATACTATTTTCAAAAAAATAGTGTAAGAATTTTAAAAATATAAGGATACAGTAAAAAATTTCTTTCATAATGAAAGAAAAATTACTTAATTACTTAAAGGAAAATTACTTAAATGAAAATATGTAGCCAAAAATGTAATGTACTTCAAAGACCATTTCAAAAATTAAATCTATGGCTCTAAAACCTCTGTACAGGATAAGTAATGAGAAATTGCATAATAAATTATAATATTACAACTCTGATGTTAAAGTAATTATTAAATATGCATTTCTCAAACATTGCATACCATGTTAGATATTTAACATTAAGAGTTATCTTTATTATTGCAATGATTTTTGTTACAGCAAATATGTACCAGTAAATAGATTGTCACGTGTAGGCAGTATTATTTTGCTTTATCATAATTTATACTGGGTGCATGCTATTTAGGTTATGTGAAAGTTTATAATTATTTTTGTTCAGTGTTAACTACAAAATGCTAATCTGGATCAGAAAATGAGGTCAACATCAGAAAATGAGGTCACATAAAACATTTATTATCTACTCAGTTATTCTAATATTGATATGTGCTTTTCATATGAATTTCTTTTTTTGTTGTTTAAATATAGAAATTTGTTGTTAATTATTAGTTATTATTAGAAATTTGTTATTTTTCAAATTATAATGCATCTGTAGATTTTCATAAAGTGACATCTAAAATGTTTGTCATTTGTTGATGTTTTCAAGTAAGAAAGCTTTTAACCTACACTCTAGCTATGTCGTACCCAAACTTACACTATATTAAGTTAGAAATGAACTACTGATTATCATGCTATTGGTGTCTGATTATCTGAGAGAATCCCCCCCCCGGCTATTTCTTTTATACTTTATATTAATAGCTGGTACTATTCGGTTTCGAGGGCCGTAAAAAATTGCAGTGAAAATGTATGCGCAAAAGTGCCAAATCTAGCAAACGCGCCCATTTAACAGCGCGCCAAATCTAGCGTACGGGCTGATTTCAGATTGCGTACGTTTATATAGTTCTATATTTCTTAAGACGCTGTTAAAATACTAGTTTAATTTTTGAATCCTTTTTTTTTTTTTTTTTTTTTTTTATTTATTTTTAATCCGTTTTTGATATCCTATGGATTTAATAATTTGGGAATTGCCCATAACGAAAAGTCGGCATTAAAGTTTTGGGTAAAGTGCAGAATCACCCACTGCTTGACGCGTTTTTAAGAATTGCACATACTCGGTATCCATGTGCACATCGACCTATTTTCACTTTAAAAAAAATTCTAGAATTGCACAAAAATGGCACTGTGCACCCCTTTGACTTTATCTATGTACATATCGACCTATTTTCACTTAAAAAGTAAAAGAAAATTGACAAAAATCCAATTGTTTTTACCCTTGTACAAAGCGGCAAACAAATAAGTGAGCGATTCTGCACTTTACCAAGAATATTTTCAAAGAAAAGGCATCATTCATTATAGAAAATTACGTTTGAACAACCAACGAGATGAAATTATGCTTTAGCGATAAGTTGGTAGCGAAATAGCGATGCAGGCATCCATTCAGTTATGTTTAGCAATTTTTATATAAATTATAATAATGATCTGAAATAGTTATTTACTCTTATGCTTCCATTCAGTCATGTTTAGCCTTTTTCATATAAATTATAATAATAAAAAAGTATTATATGAAATTAACCTTTCATCTAAATTAAAACATCAATCTTAAATAGTCATTTACTGTTATACTTCCTTTCTTGCCGCAATTATTTTTGGCAGCATTGGCATCAACAATAGTTTGGCGATTTTTTACGGCCTTCGAAACCGAATAGTATCTAATAGCTTTCATACTGAAATTTGATAGGGGTTAAAAGAAAATATATCTAATCATTTTTTAAAGTTTTAATTCTTCATTAAAACTGAATAAGCAGCGTGTTCATTGAAAATAGATAGGTTCATAAAAGCAGCAATACCTTGCTTTTCAGAGCTAATTTATTCTTAAAGATAATTTGTAAAGATATAACAAATTATCAAATTCAAATCAATATTATTATTAATATTGATTTGAATTTTGTCTGATGGATGGGATGTTTGCATGCTATCAATTTAAAAAAAGTGTGCTAGAATGCATGCTAGGAATAAAAAAAAAATATTTCTGAAAAGAGCAATTTATACTTCTGTATTTTCATTTATTATGTAATCTAAGAAACATGCCATTTCTTTGCTATAATCATTCTTTATACATATTATTTAACCATAAATAAAAACAATTATGTGAGCTACTATTGCAATAATTCACTATAGCAAAATTAAAATTCAGTTTTCTGAAATTCATATGAATGAATATGATTCATACGAGTGAATATGTATATCTTAGCTGATTTTATAAAGGCTTATTTTAAAATTAATATTAACTCCTAAATTTAGCACCGTTTGAAAATATCTGATGTTACTAAAATCATATATTAAAACTTAAAAATATTCAGAAGTCACAAGTGGCTTTTGAAAAGCTGCAAGTTGATATTTATATTAAGAGTAGTAAATAGAATTTGAATAGAGATAACTTTGAAATAAAGTCACAAGTATTTCATTTTTTCCTTTAATGAGGTTTTTTTATTAACAAAAGTAAATAGATTTTGTCTTTGTATATTCTGTATTTAGGTAAGTATGTTCTTGTAAATGTAAAGTGTAAATTAATGCATTAAGCATTTTTTTTTTTTTTTTTTTTTTGTCAAACTGAAAACAAAGTGTTGTTTTGATTTCCATGCTTATCACTTTTGATTACAGTTATGTGTTGGTAGGTGTAAATTACAAATGAACAAGGTGTAAAATTCTTTACAAAGAAGTAAAGTATTTTTTAATAAGAGAACCGTGAATAAAGCAGGAATTTGGAAAATAAAACTAGCAACTTTTAAATATTTATAACCAACATGTTCTGCTCTAGAAAGAATAAAACAAGACATCATGCTCTGTCGAATGCTGCAATTGAGGAACAAAAATTATTTTAAAATATAAAATGCCAATTTATTATTTTTTTATAAAAACATAATTTTTCATAAACTAACAGTCAAAAAGTCACTACATTAAAATCACAATTAACCCTCAATTATTTAATTAGTACATTAGATGCAACCTGGTCAGGTCAATAATTACATTTTATTTTTCCAATGCCAGTTACAGCTTTACATTTGCATTGCTATGTAGTAAGATCTCAGAAACATCATCAATGCAACATGTTGCCTAATGTGTTTGTCTTTTCTGTCTAAGTAACCACTACTTACTCTAGACTACTTACATCATTACAATTGTGACTCTCAGAAAGGAAATTATTTATTTTTTGTTCATTACTTTGACAATTTGTGCAAGGCAAACAGTTTGAAATTACTTTAAAATATTATATGCATAGAGTAATTTGACAAAAATATAAACTATGTATTATTTAATAAAAGAGTTGTGTGATTTCTGTTTTAAAATATACTGTAAAGCCCCTTAACACGAACTCGCTTAAAGCAAATACTCGGCTAATATGAATAAAAGTTCAATCCCAACAGCGATGTATATGATTTATAGGAAGTTTAATTGCTTAACTCAAATTTTGATAAGCAGGAATTATGAACTGTTTTTTGGCCCATTGCGGCATTAGATTTTATCATTCAACACGAACTTTCAAAATTTTCATGTTTTAATCAAGTGGTTTCTCTGCTTGGACTGTGTTCAGATAGCTAACATCCTGTTTAATTGAAAACCTCACAGAATACATTGTATTCTTTAAAACATAGCCAGCACAAGTAACACTGCTTGACAATCACGATCATTGCATTAGTGATTAGTTTTGAGTAGTTTGTTAGTGCAGACGATTTTGTCACGTATTCTTCCATTGGAATCTGATGTACAAGCAGTTTTGTGTCAACAAATGTCATCAGAAGAAAGTGAAGACCATAACATTTTGCCCATCCAACAGAAAATGTTGCATGCCTTCGACACTGTAGAACATTTTGCTGCAACATCTAAACTGACTTAGTTTTATGGAAGCCATGAGTACTGATGGCACTCAAGATGGTGATCAGTAAGCATATTTTTTCAAGTTACAGTACAGTAATCAATATACAGGGTGTTTATAAAGTCCCAGACCCATTTTGATGTTTAATAACTTATAAAATAATAAAGATAGATTAAAATTAATAATATAAATGGCTAGATAGACTCAAAAAGTTTCATGACCCTTGTCAATGAACTTCCACGTGGGCCCCCTTCGTCGCACGGAGAATATCAAGTCGATATTCAATTTCAAGTCAGGTACCAGCAAGCATGTCGGCATCCACAGAGGCCATTGCGGTTGTAATTCTGGCTTTTAGATCATCATTGTTCGACACTCTCCTCCTGTGAACGTTGTCCTTTACAAATCCACAAAGGAAAAAGGTCGTGTGGCGTTATATCAGGTGATCTGGATGGCTAAGGCATTGGACCTCCTCACCCAATCCATCTTTCTGTAAAATGGTCATTCAAAGAACTATGAACGATGGTACCCCAATGAGGTGGTGCACCATCTTGTTGCAAAAAGACATGTGGCTGAAGCTCTTCTAGTTGTGGAAATATGAAGTTTTCCAACATGTCTAAGTATACGACTGATGAGACCATCTTTTCTGTAACAAAGAAAGGCCCAATGACTCGGTCGTGCATTAGTCCACACCACACATTAACCTTTGGGGAATCCCAAATTCAGATCCCCTTATGCGCACATTATGGCAATTAACAATGCCAGAAAGATGAAAGGATGTTTCGTCGGAGAACATTATGCACTTCAGAAATTCAGCAGCATCTTCTATCATCCAGAGCATATCTGTTGCAAAGGCCATCCTCCTAAGCCTATCATCCGGTTCCAAAACTTGAACAATTTGAACTTTGTATGCATGCAGTCTTAATTTTTTCTTAATAACCTTGTACACCGTCAAAATTGGCATATTCAAATCTCCTGCCGCTGATCTCACAGATCATCTAGGATTGTGTAAAAATGTCTCTCTGACACGCTCAACATCAAATTCTTCTGCATTTTCTCTGTGTTTGCATTATGGATTTCGTTTCTATGAACCACCATAAAATCTGTGCTTTTTCTTGTGGTGTATGCATTCTCCTTAATATCCGGTTGAATATGTACAAAAGTATTAGAACGAACACATCAAAAGTAAACATAACATTGCAATTGTTGCCAAAAACAAAAGAGAGAAAAATGCAGTTAATAAGCAGATGATATCTAGAAAAGTACAGATATTTAGACTGGAAAATGAAATTATCTGAAATTAACCACACGCACAGACGATATTTACAAAAATAAAGATATTCAAACCTGAAAAGGAAAATATATAAGTTATTCCATCAATAAATGCCATAAGTTTGTTTATATCTTCATTATTTTATGAGTTATTAAACATCAAAATGGGTCTGGTACTTTATAAACACCCTGTATTATTGTGGCTTTTTTTATGACAACATGCATAATATATTGTAATCATATAACTACATACTGTAAATGGTTGATGTGTAGAAATTTTGTTTTCAAAAAATATTTGAGTCCTAGTTAACATGAGTTTTTTTTAACACAAACTCTTAATTTTTCAGTCCCTTGAGGTTCATGTTAACGAGGGTTTACTGTAACTGTATTAGGAAGTCAGATGATGCATCAGGTATTTAATATTCTCATCATTCTATATGATTCTGATCTAGAAGTGTCTTTAGAGAGGAGATACTCAGTATTAGTATTTATACGAGGGCTATCCAGAAAGTAGATTACGTTTTGGAATAAAAAAATAAACAAAGTATAGGAAACAAATTTTATTATATACAGATGAAAGCCACACTCAAATACTACTTTTCTACATAGTCACCATACAAATTAAGGCATTTATCGTAGCGATGTACGAGCTTGGAAATTCCTTCTTCCACAAAACTTGTGGTAACCAAGCTTTTCGCTGATGATTTCGTGCAACAAACTTCGCGAAATTTGTGGAAAACTCAAAGAAAGTTCCGTTATTGTGAAATTTCGATTTTCACGGACTTTAGCATCGACTTTTTCGAGAAGTTCGGCGGTCACTATGCTGGGTCTCCCACTTCGATCTTCGTCGTGAACATTGGTTCGGCCATTTTGAAATCTTATGACCCACTGACGCACTCCACCTTCAGTGATAATGTTGTCCCCATACACTTCACGAAGCTGCCGATAGATTTCTATCGGTTTACAGTTTTTTGCAGTCAGAAACCTTATTACTGAGCGCACCTCGCAGCTCGCGGGATTTTCAATTAACGCAGGCATTTCAAACCGTCACAGTATCTGAACGGAGCACAGCACGAACCTCTCACTAGCACGGCTAGATGCAGACTGAGCTGCGCAACGCTCTGACCCCAAGATGGCCGCGCTAGCCCCGCCCCTAGCGGACACAGACAGAAACGTAATCTACTTCCTGGATGGCCCTCGTATATGTTCTTTGTTGATACTTGTCATTTTAAGAGGTGATTGTCCTTGAAAGATGTCAGCATGAAAAATCTTTTTTCTGTTTCACTCACACACTTACTCGCTCACACATGAAGTCATAGCAGATATTTCAGATTCATCTAACATTTTTTTTTTATTGCAATTAAAAATTTCAAGGCCACAAATATCTTGGCACATTAATCATGCCCATTCCGGAATATAACATTTAAATTTTTAATATTGTTGTGATATAACAAGAAGCAGCAAAGAAAAAGCTCTGATAAGCCAAGGTGCAGAAAGCATGTGCATTGCATTCAAGATGAAACCTGAATTCAGAATGTGTTAGTTTTGGTTTCAGTGCATTTGATTGTATAATTGATAATGTTCGAAAACTACTATTGTCTGCTTGAAATTTAGATCCTTTTATGTCACCACATTATGCAAAAGTCATAAGATGTGGATTAATCAAGAAATGGCACAGTCCAGAAAAGTGATAATAAACAATTGCTATTTTTAGAATCAAGAGGCATAAAGACCCAAACTAAAATGAAGAATTAAGAAGCTGTTGCTAATTTAAGTTATGTAACCAAAATGTCATAAAATCTAAGTGTAAAATCTTCTTAAATATTTTATTCTTATCATTTAAAACTAACATTACACTGAAGGTATGTGTGTTAGTATTATGATATAAAACTTTACTGCTAAAATGAATTCACATTTTATTATTCATATTATAAAATAAAAGAATTACCAAACATCTTAAAGGCAGCAAACCAGAAGACAATATTTCCACAGAACTCTGTCCCATTCTTCAGTGTCTTTCCACTTCAACATCATTAAGACATTGTTTATCCTCATATGTTTTGTCTGTTACTATTCCAAAAATCCTTTTTACTTCCTTGTATTGTAATAGCGAAAAGTTTTAGGCAGCATATTTCAACGAAAATATCCATTTTGACCGCTATCGAATGAAATTTAACGATCTTTTTGCGTGATATCTGTGCGTAAGAACATAATAAAAGAATCTTTTCCTCCAAAAAAATTATAAAACTGCTTTAAAATGAATTCTGAAGAGAATATTTCGTGGCGTCTGTACGAACGTATGTACGTATCTCTCATAACTCAAAAATGAGTAGCATCAGAACGTTGAAATTTTGTATATAGGACTGCTATAACATGTAAATGTGCACCTCGTATTTTAGTTGTAATCGGCCGCACCAAACGTATATAAATATATTTATATATATATCCACTCTGTTACCCGGCTCCATAATCTCAGTTTCTTTACTCTTATATGCTTGTAACTTGTACATTTTTTACTTTAAAAATGATTGAATTATGTTGTTCTTATCTTCCGGTTAAGCTTTTTATGCCTTTAGTAAATCTGTATGCAATATTTTTAGAATTATCAGCAATTTTAAAGTTGTTTAAGTGCTGCTAAGCCTAATAATGTTTTTGATGGTGGCCATTGCTTGTTTACATTTGAAACAGCAGAATAGTGGATTTGTTGCCAGTCTAGAGACACTTAGCTTCGTAACAACAAAAGATAACGCCTTTATTTATTATTGCGAATTAAATCATGCCTAATCCTTTCTGGAATTTTTTGAGGAAATAAGTGTTTAAGATTTACTTTGTAATTTTTAATACAGATATTTTGACTTTATGTATTTTTGCCTTGTTGCGAAAGCTTCGTAACAACAAAGATAATAACTGAATTAATTGAATGAGAAGTACTCAATCGTATGTGAAAAACTGTTTCTTTTTTGTTTTGTTTGCTTAATTTCTTTTATACATCATTCTAGCTTTATTATAGTATTTGAATAGAACATGTGGCAACAATTAGATAATTCTTTAAATGATATAAATTTTGTGCATTCTGTGTTATGATGTGAACGAAATATAATACTGTTAAGTGAACCTAGCGCCAGAGTGTCGCTATGGTAAAGAAATAGAGTGATTTTTAAAGAATGCATTTATTCTATTGTGGTTTATGTGCTGTCGGTGAAGTAGATTTAATTCAATCCAATAAGTGTGAATGAAATGCAAGAAAAAATGCCTATAATTTAATATTCCATACAAGGAAATCATGTGGTGTACACATCAGATTTTTTCTTTTAGACTTTTAGACTGTTGACATTTAACATTTTCTGAAATCTGTCTTGCCATGACCATGTGTTTGAAAACTGTTTCATTATAGTTATAATTTTGATTTACATTTTTTTAATCTTACATATATATATATATATATAATTTGGCTATTTTTTATCAATCTTGGGCATCATTCATTAAATTATTCCTAAGCGTTTCAAATCTGAAGAGTATTTGAAATGTAGATTGTTATAAAATTTTGTAAATTTGTGGATTTAATGTAATAAGGCATATTAGTTAAAACTGTAAGATGATACATATAAGTTAAAAATTTTTGCTTATATTCAAAGCAAAAATTTGATGTTAATTTTAAATGCAAAAGTTCAATGTGTTCTAGGATACAATTTTAGTATATTATCCTCATGATCTTGCATTATTTCCCTATTTGGTGATAAGTTCTTAGTGTATATCTGAAATTAACATTTAAACAAAAATTGATAAACTCTAGTACCCCCCACTACATTTTACAATGATTAATTTTTGAATTTCTCAATAGAAATATGAAGTAAATATATACGAGGGTTGGAACTTTAATAGTGGCAACACAGCTGAAAAAACGCTATGCAACAAAACCAAAGAATATCGCATATACCACACGTGAAGTACATACCTACCTTACCTCTCAGCAAAAAGACTCGTCCTGCCTACATCACGTGCATGCGGAGTGACGCTAAGAACGGATCCTTGTATTAGCTCGCGGTCTAAAGTAAGTGTTGTCAGGATGTTTTCAAAACAAGAACAGCGATGTTGGATAAAAATTGAATTGCCAGAGGTCATACAGCACAACAGTGTTATCAAGGGCTTCAAGAGGCTTGCAGGGAATCTGCATTACCTTACAGAACCGTAGCAAGATGGGTGAAAGCATTCAATGAAGCAGGCCAAAACATGGCAGACATGCTGTGGCCAGGTCGTATGAGTGTCAGCAATGCAGACGTGCAAGCTGTTGCCGCACTAATGGACAGTGATCGCCGCCAAACTATTCGTCAGCTGGCCGGACAAACAGGATTAGCGCATACGACTGTGCTGCACATTCTGAAGGAACGGCTGTCCATGAGAAAAATTGCTTCACAATGGGTTCCACATCAATTGACGGAAATGCAGAAATGGCTACGATACGATGCTGCCCGAACCCACCTGGAGCGCCATGAGCGCGAAGGAGATGCTTTTTTACGCTGTATCATTATGCTGGTTGAGACTTGGGCCCGATCGTACCAGCCAGAACTGAAACGCCAATCAAACGAATGGCGTCATCACGGGTCACCACTACGTTCGAAATTTCATCAGAACCCCAGCAATGTGAAAGTTATGGTGATTCTCGTGTACGACTGTGATGGTGTCATACTAACGCATACCGTTCCCCCACAGCAGACCGTCATTGCGCAGTATCACTGCTCATTTTTGGAGCACAATCTCCGACCAGCTTTGAGAAAAAAACGGCAACACACTTTCTGCAGAACGCTCCTCTCATTTTGCATGACAATGCTCGGGGCTGCATGCAGCGCAAGCTGTGACTGATTTGTTCAAGCGATGGGGCTGGGAAGTGCTTTACCATCCACCATACTCCCCAGATCTAAGCCCTTGTGACTATGACTTAATTCCTAAGATGAAGGAACCGCTTCGTGGCACTCACTTCCAAACTGTTCCTGAGATTCTTGCGGCAGTAGACTGGTCCATTCAAAAACTATCAACAAAACAGGCGCTGCTACAGGTATTCTGCGACTTCCACATCGTTGGAAACGGGTTGTACACAATGCTGGCGACTTTATTGAAGCACTGTAAAACATGATGACATGAATCACTTTTGTATTCCTTGTAAATAAATAGTTGCCACTATTAAAGTTCCAATCCTCGTATAATTCCCATTTGAACAGCCTATTAGCTATTTGTATTAAATATGCACACATAAAAATATTATCTTAGAAATTGGTTACCATATTAATTATCAAAATTTAAGTTATAATACTTTAATTCTAAAATTTAGTATGAAATTTGGGCCTGTTTAAGAAAGATCAATTTCTTTATGTCTGGCCTTATTTCACTTAGTTTTAAGCATAAATTAGGATCCAC